CTTTTGCTCCCTTCCACTCTCTAAAAATCAAGGGGAAAATATCCTCTGGTAGGATTAACAACAGCAGAAAGTAATACAGAAGCATAGTGTCAGCAGCATCTTCGCTCAGAGGACAAGGCTGGGGTAGGGCTGAGGGGAGGGAGGTCCCATTTAGGTTTTAGCCGTAAAAAGCAAGGGCCCTCTCTGTTTTGCCAGCGCTAAGGGCAATGCTCCGGCTGCCCTTGTTTTACATCCATCGTCTCTGCTGAGGCAGGCGGGGTCCCCTCTCCCCGCTCCCCCTTCTTTCTTCTCACAGAAGTCCTAGGTGATGGATGGGCTGTGCAGAGGGTGGGGGTGGGAAGGAAAGGGTGGGAAGTTGTTCTAGTTCCCACGTGGATTCCTCAAAAACTCCTGACTTCGGACAAAGCAGTCAGGCGGTGTGTTTACACATTTGGCTTTTTCCTGGGGTGCAGGCCATGAGTGTGGGAAGAAGAGGGGAGGAGATGATGGGAACCTTCCCTGGACCCCACGTCCCCAGACCTCTCAGAAGGGTCACCGCCTGGTGGCAGGGGGTCTCTCGGCTGGTGCCCCCTCCCTGCCATCAGCAGCCCCTGCAGGAAGTGGTGCTTGTGATCAGATCACTCACAGTCCAGCAAATAAACCCGACCCCAGCTCCTTGTTTCCTTGGCTGAGAATCTCAGAATGTAGACAAATGGCAATTCAGCCGATCTTTGGGGCTGAGGGGTGGGAACTAGGTCCTGATGGAGGGGACAGAATTGCCCGTTTAAGCAGCAGGTCTCAGCCCTGGGTGCACATTAGAATCACCAGAGTCTAAACCAGAGTGTGGGGGCTCAAGCAGCACCCCAGGGCTTCTGATGCAATTGGTCTGGGGAAAGCCAGGCACTGATCTCTTTTTCAAAGCTCCCCAGGTGCCCTCGCTGGCTCTGCTCAGTGGTTAGAGCATTGGCCCATGCATTGAAGGGTTGCAGGTTCGATTACCGGTCAAGGGCACATACCTGGGTTGCAGGTTGGATCCCCGGCCCCAGTGGGGGCGCACATGGGAGGCAACCAATCAATCAATCATCAATCTCTCTCTCTCTCTCTTCCCCTCTCTCTAAAATCAATTTAAAAAAATCTATACTCTTATCATTCAAGCTAAGTAATGGGCCTGGGGGGTAGGGGTGAGGGGACTCTGAAATTTTATGATACCAGGTCACTATTTTAATGATGCCGATGTGTTTGTATCTTTCTGGAGGGAAATAGCTTTCCTTAATAATGTAAATCCTAGACTCACTGAGATTTTAGTACTGGAAGGAGAACCTCAGATGGGAAGGGTGGCCAACCACGTGGCTCAGTCTGTGCTTTCTGAGCATCTCCTGTCCCCTGGAGGTCCCTGATTCGGCTCCCGTGTCTGCACCATCTCAGTTAAAACTCTGGTCTGGCATAGACAGGAACCTCTCTACTTGGCCTCTCTCAGCACAAGTAGGAAGTTGGTGAGTTAAAAACACTATCAGTGTATGAAACACGTAAAGCATTCTGTACCAGACACTGTTCCAAGAACTTCCTGTTATTAGCTCATTTAATCCTCACGACCCTACGAAGGGGATACTATTGTGATACGTTGAAGAAACTGAGGCAAAGAGAGGTTAAGTAACTTTTGGAGATTTGAACCCAGGCAGATTCTCTAATGCTAACATGAATAAATTACAAGTAGTTTAAAGCAGTGCCAGTTCTGTAATGTTTATCTCGTAATCTGCTAGACCCACTTTTACCCCCAGGACTTTCTGGTATTGTCCACGCCACATCTTGTCTACAGACAGCACTGTGTAGCCCCAAAGAACTGATTACAGAGCAGGGTCTGTGGTCTATTCTGGAAATATGGTGGAACTTATTTCTGAAGTTACTTCTCCAACGAAACACCTACAGCTACTGAGTAAAATATAACAAACGCCCTTTAAATGCATAAATGAGTTACTACACATAAGGACCACCCAAGGAACACACATGAAGAGGGATCGGAGAACTGGAGAAGTCAGCTGGCACCGACCCTGTGGCTACACTGGGGGCCTCTTGTTGGTCTCGACAACCAGGATTCAACAGGTGCATGAGGGCAGAGACAAGGCATTAGACCAGGGTAAGGGGAGGCGTTGGGATAAAGATCTCCACATAAAGCCGGGACCTGGAGGGTCTAAACATTCATAAAAAGCTGGATGAGAAACAAGTCAGCCTTCTTGCAAAGAAAGATGACAAGGAAACTTCTCAGCCTGGGCTCAGGGTTGGAGGAAAAAATAATCTCCCTTGAGAATATGTAACCACAGGCCTGCCTTTGCAACAGTCTGGGTTTTGAATTCACATTACCTTCACCAGGAAACCCAAGCTGAGAAACTAACCAAGTTATCCCAGGTTGGTTGTGCTGCAGGGTACTTGGCAAAGCCAAAGCCAAACACACAAATACTCCCTGCATAGAAACATCACCAACACAAACCCACAAGATTCTTAGAGATGAAATCCTATTGATAGAATCACACAATCCAGTACAACATTATATGAGCAATAGTCCTCAGTAAAAACAACGGAGTTCTTAAATAATGGAGGAAATTAAAAACATGAAAAAGGAATGAAAGGCTATAGAGTGGGCATATTTGTAAAACAACCAAATATACTAACTATACTAATACTACTGCATTAATGAAAACTATATTCATTGAAGTTAAAAGCTTAATGGATAGATTAGACTTAGCTAAAGAGAGAAATGGTGAACTGGAAAATAAAGCTGGAGAAATTATCCAGAATGCAGCAAAGGAGGTAAAGACATGAAAAAAAGAGTTTATAAGACATGGGGGATGGAATGAAGGTTCAGCATACATCAGAGTCATAGAAAGAGAGATTAGGGAAAATAAAGGAGAGACAACACTCAAAGCAATAATATCTTGGAATCAGTTTTCAAGAATTAATGAAATATTTAGACTCAAGCATCCCAAGCAAGTGAAATAAAAATAAATTTACATCTATAATATTGAAACTGTAAAATACTAAAAACAAAGTGATAGTCTTAAAAACAATCAAAGAGAAAAAAATATTATTTATAAGTCTTTGCAACAACTATGAGAGCCAGAGGCCAATGAAATGTTTTCCAGGTTCTGGAAAACAACAACTATCAATGCAGAACTGTATACCTAACTAAACTATCTTCGAGAGTGTGAAATAGATGTGTTCACCACTGATAAATCCTTCCTGAAAGAACTACTAGAGGATGTACTTCATGAGGAAGGACACTGAGATACAAAGTAAAGAAATGGTACAACTTCTAATGTACTTCACCCACATCCTTGGTTTCTGCCTACGGAGAGTGTGCCTTCTCCCCGTCTTGACACATGTCGCTAAGATATCTAGTTTCTTTGGCAGCTAAAGTCAAGAGATAGTTTGTTGACTTTGTTGAGCTCTTCTGCTGACTGATGAGCTCCAGCCAGAGGTACCCAAGTCCCTTCCCCAGGTGGGCACCAGTTCCAAGGTGATTACACAGTGGGGATTCTGTATGAAAGAACAGGAAATGTTAAGCCTTTTAGGCATCAGAGGCTGTGCTACATATGATCCAAGGCTACTCAAAGAGCCAGTCCTGTCCCGGGAAGACTTCCTTCTCAGTGGGTTTGTGGCCACATAGATAACAAGAGTTGGAGGGATGACTGAAAGACTTGGCAGGTCACATTCTCCGAATAGTATCCAAACCACAGAGCTTGGAATCGAGGGATTGGGAGTGTGTCTGTAGACCCACCAGTCACTCTGCCCATGCCTGGATTTTACGTTTCCATACCTGCATTTCTGGACACCCGAATCATCACGTGCACACTCAGGACCCTGACAGTGAATTTATCTAGGGAATGAAACAGTGCTTGAGATTTGTTTTATGCCGAGAGCCAAGTTTTCTTTCTTTTTTTTAATCCTCACTGGAGGATACCCTCTCCATTGCTCTTCAGAGAGTGGAAGGGGGAGAGAGAGAGAAACATCAATGTGAGAGAGACACATCAATTGGGGCCAGGGATCGAGCCTGAACTGGGGCATGTGCCCTTGACCAGAATCGAACCTCGGACCCTTCAGTCTGCAGGCCGATGCTGTAACCACTGAGCAGACAGGCCAGGGCTGAGAGCCAAGTTCTCCACACACGGAGGACCAGGCAACATTGAGATTCAAAACGCAGGCCACTGTATCTGAAATGTATGTTTGCAAACCGTCTGATTTCACGTCGGCCTCAGATGTCCCCTGAATACAAATCGCCTCATTTGGGGCTGGAAGCGCAGGGAGGAAGAAACCTAAGAGTGATCTCCAGAGCCAATCTTTAATTCGGATGACTATAATAGAATGAAATCCCGTTTCAAGTCTGTCAGCATTCCTTTGATGATTACAAATGAGTCCCTCCCCCCGGCAATGTGGGGGCATAATCGGGATAAAATAACCCTTTTTGTCTGCCGGGGCCTGTGAGATGCGTGCTCGGGGCAGCCTTCGGAGTAGCGTTTCAGTCTGAGTCGAGCATGACGCTCCCCGGCCCTTCTTTCTTCCTCTCGACTCGGAAGATTTTTCTCTCTTTTCATGTTAAGCGGCTTCCGACGCTCTCAGGCTTAGGAATCATAAATCATCATGCTGTAGAGTCTGGAACAAGAGAGACCGCGGCCCCCGAGCCC